GAGACATGGATTATGATCATAACATCTTCAAGAACCGGAAATATATGACCATTTTCACAATTCCGATGATGTGTATTTTGTATCTCCAGTACTAAGAATCAGAGAGTGTAGAAGGATCCAATTCGTACTACGCTCCCATAGTGAGAATTAAGCGCTATTGATACATGTTTACCAGTATTTATGTCCTAAATCAAAGCTACACCTAATACAATAATGTTTATAAGCTTTCATAGATTACTCCTACCTACACCTGAAAAAGTTTATAAATGTAATGAATAAGTATCAAATGGTCACAGTTAGTAAATTAAACGACTGAAATGCGCTGCTTCCTGTTGTATATTTGTATACAGCTGCAAATATATATATTTAGCTCACATTTAATTCATGAAAACCTCATTTATGAATGGATTTAATTAAAAATCAGTTCTTGAATGGGAACTACACAAGTCTATATATTAAGTCCTTTAGCATCTTGAAAACATTTTTATTCTCTTATAATAAACCTGTGAAAATACCTACTAAATAAACAAGTACTCTTACAATATCAAGTGCAGAAAGAGAGTTACAAAAAAAATTCAGAAAATATTGAAAAGATATTTGCGACTGATATCAGTTGAAATATGTAACAGTATATATAGCAATAGTGGAACTCTATGGAAACTTATTTACAGAAACGTGTCTGTGTGGAGACCTAAAGATATTGATTACTGTTTGGTTTGATTCAAATAGGATATAAAGAAACATATCAATGGTAAGGCAGCGAAATCCGACTGAAAGCCTCAGACTGGCACTGCTGGGTAGTGGGGGCAATCGAGCTGTCTAATTTGGGCGGTCGGTGAGATCAGACTAATCCACCACTGTTGTAAACCGGGTTATCTGGGTTCCATTTACGAGACTCTCTTAAATCTTGCGGGCTACTTGATGTGTATGCTTAGGTATATAAATTGCATGAGCCTCGGCTTTTGGGGTTCATGTATCCAGCTATACACAAAGGGTACACGAGTAGGTTAGCACAAGGAACGTTGGTTGAAAAATTTATGCCCTATCTCAAGTAAAATCAGTGGCCTAATCTTTCAGGTCAAAGACAAAACGAAAAAAATATGTTTATGCTCATGTGTATGTCATAAAGTGCAGTGGAGAAAGCCTTTGTACCAGTGATATACATGTAACATGTAAGTACAGTCAGCTGTAGCAAATACATTCGAAGGCAGAGGTGACTATTTACCCTACTGGGTGGGTGAATATACCTATATGTATACTATGGGATGCATGAGTGAAAACTTGTATGTTACCGGTGTGCATGTGGCGTATATTTATTTGCTCACAGGGTAAATGCACCTATGAGCATACCAAGGGATGCATGGGTGAAAACTTATATGTTACGGATATCTATGTAAACTATACTTGCCCCTGGTGCGATACCTGCGCACCAAGACCTGGAAGTAACAATTAAGCTACAAAACCATATCCACTCGATGGGTTTGTGAGCCATGGGAAACGAAAATCATTTCCAGAAAAGCCACTCGATTCCACTGGATAAGGCTTGACCAACCTTAACACAGCTGAAACACCGTACCAATATCTAAACACGCTCTATAAAGTGTTTCCATTAGTAAATTATTTGAATTACCTGCCTACATTCTAGCCTCAAATGCTGGAGTACGGATTTGGGTAGAAATAGTCCGCTCTCTTCAAAATGCTCTTATACGGTGACGAGTTCCCATCATCTGCCACAGAAGTACTACTCATTGCCTCCACATGGTAGGGATATTTCTAGGGAAATGAGATGATGGACATTGTAAATCTGGTGGACACACATGGTTTACCTAAGGGTTGAAAACCCTTGATTATAAATTTTTCGTGAACATGAGCTCCAGGATCTTGAGGGGACGAATGACTGAATCTTCTGTTGTTGCTCCACTGCCATTTGAATCAGATCCTTAGGTCAAATGTTCGGGGATTAATCCCCTGATAAAAATACCTGCTTCGGCCTGAGTATCGTAACAGCAGCCTAGTTCACTACGTAGGATAATGAATACTAATGAAAAAACAAAAATTATGACTCACTAATGTTAAAAAAACTATAAAAGCGAGTTTTTTGTTCTAATCGATACCATTTTACCTCAGGTATGTATAATTTACATGAAAGCATTGAGAACGGACCACAACTATTAGGTGAAATTTCTACTTCAATAATCTTCAAGGGAAAACGTCTTACTTCTCATAATATTGACCTAGAAAATATCTAACGTCCCACACATTCCAATTAGGTATTGATTTATCCGACAATCATTCAGTAGTCTACTATAACAGGAAATTTTAGGAGCTATTTCATAATTGTATTTAGACCGTTGATTTTCATTCTAGAACAACCTTGAGCTATGAAGTGTTGATTCTAAATCTCGAAAGAGTTAAGAACCACTGTACCTGGAAAAGGTAAAGACAGGATAAACACAACTATCTATAAGATCTTTCTCTAATGTTTTCTTCAACTAGTAGGCTTTTTATTTAAAATGCTGAGTAATTTTTTGTTGCTGTGTATCTTTTTAGACGTAGTAATTATGTACACTTATAATACATACATGCACATTAAAAAACAACACTTCAAAATACACATCCGCACGCACACAAACGGTTAACACTAAAATAATAAACAAATAATATGATGGATAATCAAGTAATCTGAAGGCCGTAAAACATATATTCACAGCCTAAAGATGAAAAATCAATAACCTAGCCATACGTCTATCCTACCAACTACCATAAAGTAACAAATACCGCTTAAAATCTCTCTCTCTCTCTCTCTCTCTCTCTCTCTCTCTCTATATATATATATATATATATATATATATATATATATATATATATATATATATATATATATAGAGAGAGAGAGAGAGAGAGAGAGTGGCAACACCCAAAAATCTTGGCACAATAAGAGTAGGTAGGCAACAAAATAGTTACGAATAAACACTGAGGGAGAATGAAAAATAGTCAAATGAATAGTTTAATGATAATTCTGACTTATTATTAGCACTAGCTACCAATAAAATATACAACTAAAAATGGTTGCCAAAACACTGAGTAATTTCAAAATAAAAGCCTCAGTTTGAACAGGTCTCCACTTGTGCGAAGATATTTAGATGTAACTGTAGTATGGCAGCATAAAATAGAGTTCACATCCTTACCATTCTAGAGATCATTGGCATTAATTTTCACGCTTTACTTGTGAATCTCCAAATGTAACTCCCACAACAGATGAATAACGTAAAAAAGCAATCACAAGACGTTCACCTAATAAAACTTCTTGATGTTAGCAGAATGTTAGCAAATGATAGTAAATGTTGCAATCAGTGTGGCAGGTCGCATGTCATACGACTACATAGTTAAAAGCCTATTGAGAAGATAGTTCCTGCAAGTGATATTGTGGATTTTCAGACATACTTTATGGACTGGAGTATTTTTTTGAGTGATCGTTCCAATATAAATTTAAGCACGACCGTAGGTACAACTTTTGAACCCGTGTTTAATAGATATTTTAGTTCATCATGAGTAGGAAATTCATAATTTGATAACCATGTAGATAACTTATTGCGATTAGCACGAAAGAATATTGAGTTAGAATATTATTACCAAAAAATGATAACGTTACCTAGAGAGGAAGTAAATTCCTTTTATTCCATTGTCTATCACTGTCAAAACTGATTCGATTGTTTTTGAGGCCAGTTTTCATGTATTGAAATGAATTGGAAAAACATCAAAAATTGATAAACACCGGACAATTGTCGTGTCCTAATATAAGACATTTCAATAAGATACACCCTCAAACCAATATAGTATCGAACACAGAACCTTTGGGCTTCATGACGAAGAAGTTAACACTGAGCTATAAAACTGAAATAAATACATACTAATCAATTTTAGTCAATTGGTAATATGTTGCGACCATCATCCGTTCTTGTTCCCATCAGAACTGACCCCAAAGGTCATGGTTTTTCACTAGAACTTTAGGTATTTCTTGAAGCTAATCACTGATGAACGCTGAGTCACTATTAATAAGTTAGTTGCATTGGATACCCTGATCAAAATAAGACAATAAAATCAATAGATAATATATGACTTAGTTTTACCTTAGAATGAACTATTCAGATAAACAGATAACAGACTGTACCAAAATAGTGTCTACAGTGTCGAACGGTCGAGTTAGATTATGAAGGAAAAATCAATAATGACAAATCATTTACTCCATATTGTAGGAGGTTAAAACATGATCAGTTATTTTTTGTCATCGGTCTGTATAGATGGTGAAAAAAACTAACTGTATGAAAGGTGAAAAATGCTAAATTTTGTGAATGGATTTACCGAATCGAGAACTTTATTGAAGCCCTTATGAAGTTTACATTACTGGGAAGCCATAGGAACAAAAGTTCAACTCTTGGAAATCTTCAAAACAACCCAAAAACGATAGGATGGGGCCTATCGAATACAATCATCATGATATTGAATGTCTTTCATATTCAGTGCAGCAGAAAAATTCAAAGACAGATGAACATCAAACTATATGAAAAATGAAACTGCGAAGATCTCCAAGTAGACTTTTAAGAAGTTGGTCTACAACTAACTAATTTCGTTTCACGCACTATTACAAAAATTATCACACACATCCAGATGTTAAGATTGAAAACCTTGAAAGGACATGATAACAGCTGTGCTAAATCGAGAGGTCTATTGGTAAGAGATAAACCTATAAGCTTTATGAAGAATATTTGTCCATATGTTTGTTCGGAATACAAATATGGATACTTCATATCTTCCCATTAATCTACAAGTCTTAAGTGACATTCATGTTTTTATGACATACCGAACAATTCTACACAAATCAACCGCGTAAACACAGATAAATATCATATTCGTTATCGAAATCAATTAAATATATGTTAAGAAACCCATTGACGAACTGATTTTCCACTGAAACGATAGTAGAACAAAAAAATGGAGTATAATCTTCCGGACTTACTTTATTTTAAAACAATCCAAATACCATAGCAAATACATGTAAGAATATCAATAGCAATATTACCATATATATTAAAATACACAAGATTATCGCATAAAACCACCATAACATAAACTAAAATCCAAGAGCAACATATGCTGACTTATAAAGCTTGAAGAAAAAGGAGTCAGTCATTTTTGTCCATTTAAAGTAAATCAAAATACATTAGTATGTTAATGAGAAAAATTCATAAATTAATCATTAATTACTTTTTCTATTTAATAGGATAGTGTTAGTGACGTTGCTTCACTTCTTGTATCGAACAGACCAACATATAGCCAAATGGAGAAATGCTTGCAAAAGAAAGCAATTTAAAAATAGCGGCTGCTAAACGATAGATTAATTCATCCATATACATGCATAGGTATCGCCTTTAAAATACGATAGACATAAAAACACATATGGATATATAAACACAAACATAATATACTCATAAAATCAATAAGGCAACATTTAAAATTACAGAAAAGTGCAAAGCTTATTCTGAAAGACTATGGAATATAATTATTAGAATTTAATACTATTATTTAAATTCCACATAGTACTTTGTTCAATGTACAGTGGTAATACTGACAGTTAAACTGGAGAGGGAAAAAAACGAAATAAATTCAACTGTGAGAAGTGAACACAGAAAAAGCTTCAATCATTGATCAGAATTTGAAATGAATAATAATAATAATAATAATAATAATAATAATAATAATAATAATAGTTATAACAATAACGATAATAATGGTGATTAGACGATAGCAACAATAAAAAAATCTCACATTTAGCAGTGCCAGATAATAATGAAGGTAATAGCTTACTTGAGAATTTATGTAGAAAATAGAAGTCTTTGAAATAGAATATAAATCCAATCCTGTGTTTGTCTAATCAAATGAACTGATGGTACTGAGAATGTAAAAGTCACCAAAATATTTTCAGATTCCCCTTTGTTGGAAGCGACAATAAAATGAGTGTGAAAGTGATAAACGTGAAATTAAGCAACAGTATATGTTATATCTAGATATTAACGAACAATCAGGAACTCAATCATTTGCACCAGTTAAACGATGAAATAGACGTTCATTAACTTCTTGACTTTTTTCTAAATTGCGCTGACTAAGAAATACGTACCCACCAATAAATTCTACGATTGTCTTACAGTTGGTCGACAATGGTCGAAATGCTACCTGTGAATTGCGAAACTCTAAAATGACTTTTTCAGCATCCCAATTAACATTCCATGAACGTAGATCAGAAAAATTCCAAGTTAACAAAACTTCGCCTGTTTGTGGAGAAACAACCTCAATACGACCCTGACAGATGGCTATAATATCATCCATTGGAGTACTGAATAACCCTCCACCATTCGTATTTGGCAATCCTAGTAACCCACGTTCAAACTGTACAATAAAGTAACTTCGACCAAATTCAGTCAGTCGTTGCCAGGTTTGAATAAATTTATATTTAGCTTCTAATAAACCAAGATCACGAATGTTTACATGAGCTTCAATGATACGTTGTCTTAGAGTATCTTTAGAACGTGCCTTTCGAATAATACGTTCATTACAGAAATCTGTCAAATCACCCAAATAGGCTGTGGATTCTGAAAGTGACATAACTGGAGACGGTCCAGGCATCTGAAGTTTGAGTAATTCTAACGTAGCTTCAACTTCTTTACTGTAGGCTACCTTACTTGCCAATGTTTTCCCCCTAGAACCAAGACGACATGCAGCTAACCAACAAGCATATTGTTCACCTGAATCAAACTTCAACCATATTTCTTCTCGCGTAGAGCATAATTCCCTAGGTGTAGAGGAGTTACCCGAAGGAGTGAGAGGAGAACCATTACTTGTCTTTTGATCCAATATAGAAGGAACTGATAGTTTGATTATGTATTTTTGATGTGCAACACTCACATCAAAACTGACTGTACAATCGCGAAGTGAATATTCAGCTAAGCATTCTTTTGTTTGTGTTTTATTTTTGAATAAATACAGACGAGCTTCTACAATAACAGCCCAGTATGCTTTGTAACGTTTTAGGAGGCGAGAGCGATCTCGGAATACTTTAATCGAACCTTCAAGACTCGGTACTTCAGAAGTATCCGTCATATCATGGCCAGTTGGTCGAATCGCATTTTGTAGAGTACGTGATACTGGTTCAGACTCGTCGGCAACTCCACACGATTGTTCCAGTTCTGACAGGAGTTCATCTACTTCGTCTACACCACCTACGTTATGTAAATTACTCGGTATTTCATCCACCAAAGCTGAACCGATTGGAGATAAATTCCGAGGTAACTGTGAAACTGACCCACCACTATTATAAAGCGGATAGTGTTTTTTTGCCAAGTCGGGACTCGAAGTAGCATGAACTGGACTACGATTTACATAATTAGAACTCACAGTTGTACAAGCACCTAAAGTTGAATAAGGATTTGTATTATTCATATCTGGGAAGTTTGTGATACATAACTGCTGATTGACAGCAGCAGACTGTAACTCGGCTTGGAGCTGATAGGCGGCAAAAACAACCATCTCATCCTCTGTACAATCAAACTGGCCAGACAGAAGAGACCACCGAGCTTGTTCATAAAGCTGATGAATACGAACAGCGTCATATTTCAAAATAACATCGTAGAAAGTGAAATATTTGAAGCACAGATATAAAGTTGGAGGGCTAGATGGATTATCGGGTTCCAAAGATGATGGTTTAATCCCTTGTTCTAAAAGTGACCGAGATGAGTCTAACCATCCACTGTTGAGCCGTGCTTTTTGAACTAAATTCTTGGGTTTCATTAACCAGCTATCGGCAAACACTGCTTTTGCAGAACGTCTCAATGAACAGTCAGCATAGCGAGCGAAATCAAGTCTTTCTTGATCTAACGAGTTATCAGATTTAAATCGCATTATTGTACCAGCATTTGAATTCAATGTGTTATACGGATTAATTTTTTGTCCATCAACTGTAGGATAAATTGAAGACGCAGGTGAGGGGAACTTCGATTTAACAGAAGACTGATCATTTCTTGGATTGGGCAAACCAGGACGTCGTAAGCCTGGACGAATAGTCGGTAATGGGCAATTTGTTTTAAGCATATTTTTAGTGATAGGAAGTGTTAAAGATAATTCCTCCGAATGTCGTATGTTTAGTTCTTTACATATATCCCGAACCACAGTAAACAACCGGGCGGCATAATTGACACGAAGTACTAGAGGAGTTAAAGAGGGTAAAACAATTTGAACATCGTTATGCATACGATGAAACACCAATCTAGCATCCGACTGAATTCCATATTGATCCAATGTTGTCCGGCTCTGCAAAAGCCATACATTTCTATCGACCCACCATATTGCATGATCTGACCAACTTTGCTGTAACTTCACTTTTTCGACAATTAGATGCATCAAACCACCCAGTGGTAGATCACCCGAAACACGTACTGAAACATTTGTGTTTATGTCTTCAACGCGAACAGATAATTCCCAAGATCCATCAATATAATTTCCATCCACCACCATCCGACTGATAGTCTCTGTCCCATTGAAAGTATGAGTACCTCCATTATGAACACTGAATGGATCGTATGCAGACATCGGTTAAAAATACTTCCCAAATTGCATGCACGCGTAGTCAAGACAATATTACTGATAATACCGATCAAAATATACTTAACCTCATACACAAAGCAATTTGTATGACTCTTTAAACGCCTACCTGATATTTCATCTACTATTGGCCAAACCTGGTCTGACTATATCAAAGTGCTTAATAGACACAGTTAGACATTCAATGCAAGTTGTGAGTTTAAACCAATCACCAAATAATTCACGTGACCATACACCCACATTCCCGTATTCTTTTCTCTCACCCTAAGAGCCAACCAGAAAATAGTAAATGGCATAAGAGTAATATTTTTTCTTAAAGTCATACCTGCTGGGTTTTCGTTTTGTTTACATTAAAACTGATTGCAATAAACATCACGGTTCGGAGGCTTTGTATAACCGTAATTTCCCAAGCCCTTGAGACGAGGTTATAATTCACTTGAAATAGCAGAATACAGACTCTTTCACCTGAACGAAGTTTAATGGATTAGCAACATGTAGTTTAATGTAGCACGATAATTTAAAACACAATTTAAACAAATACAAAAGCCATGTCATATAAAAATAAAGAGAATTCAATGAGGAAAATTTTCTTTTCGATGAAATCATTTACTCAAGCTGCATATTCTTATTTACAGTTGTTTGGTAAATATATATCCATAGAAAGATAGAAAAAACTGCACCACAAAGTGATTCGAGATTTCAAGTGACGTTGCGTAATAATCAAGGGGTTGGAGAAGAATAGGTCGATGAAAATAATTTACGGGTCAGAATTCTGGAAGATAATTGTCCCTTTGACAGATATGAAGAAAAATGAAAAACGTAAAGGTCATAATAATAACTGGGTAATAATCATAGGAAATTGTTAAAGGATAATAGTAACTGATTACTGTTTAAAATTACAAAACATTAATTAGATGCTCCTGTATTGAACTGGTGATCGTTTAGCATTCTCCTTTTAAAGACCACTACGGGTAGTGTTCTGAGATGCGTTTGGAAAGGGATCGCTTTGAACGGTTAGTGTAATCTGACCCACAGGAGCAAGTAAATTTATAGACGCATATTGATGTGGTCCAAAGCAAAAGTTTATCCTCAGCACATCCGTGAATGGTGGGCCGGCTTCAGGAGACGTTACGAAGCCTAGCTGAACATAAGGTTTTATTTAGGGGTTTTGAAATACGTTTATTCAAAAGTTCGTCAGCCATATCTCCTTTGAATTCGATACTCATAAAAAGAGTTTTCTTTTGAAATGTCAGTACTTTTTCAGGATGTTATCTTGGTGTTAAGTTTCTATCGACAAATCTAGGCGGGTAACCATTTCTGATGAGTATCTGTCGAAGATGAAGTAGTTCGTCATCTACTGTGTCATTGTGACATATTCATCTAGTCCATGGGGATAAAGAGCGAATTAGGTTTCTCTTTCTAACGAATCTGGAAACTTGTGTACTGAATATTCCAGGTCAGTTTTGATGTATAGATCTAACGAGTGTAATCTTCGGTGGATAGCGATGTTTCTTCATTCACATTAACGAATATATCACTGTTGGCACGAACCTAATTTCTTTATCTCGTAAAATTCTCCACTTTTAGTGAAGGCAAATAAACCTACTTTCAAATGATTCTGACACAAATCAAATGTGGGGAGAAAAAAAGTAGAGGTGTATTAGGTGCATGATTAGAAAAGTGAAATTTGTATATTTTAACATACAAAAGAAATCGCACTTTATTTTATGCTTAGATTTTTGGCTTCATTAATCTCCGACGCAAACCAAATTGGAGATTGAAGTATTATATATGTTGCCATCTGAAATGCAATTTTTCATATACTTTCATCGTGTATCTGATATAACTTGAAGATAAGAAATTTAGCGTCTTTTGCTGGAGGATTCGTAAGACGTCTACTCGAGTATTAATGTAAAGAATGAATTGCTTGGATACTGAAGCCAAACCTGAATAATTTGTGTTGATCGATATAAAAGAAAGCACTAAATTAAGCAAGACTCGTTCATAAATCTGTCTAGTCACATGAAATTAAATATCGTTTACCATGATGTCAATTTAATTGCCATGACGTTTACAAGAGATTTGTAATCTCTGATTCCCACTCTGTACTAAGTGTAACATCATTTACAAAGTCATCAGTCTGTATGAAATGTCGAAGAATAGTTATTGTTTTGCTCTGTATATTAACATACATAAATGGCATCTAATTTACTTGTTAATATACTGACTTTCGTGTATATCAGAATTACCAACTAAAACGTGAATTTGGGCTCAACATCAATCTTAATGTGGGATTTACTGTTTTCCTTCAGAAAAGTGAATGTAAAACCGCCTTATTTTTGAATTGTAATCAGGTTGATTTGAATACACCAATACACTTCTAGTGTTGTGTGTTTACAAACTGACATATATTTACTCTTGACATAACAGTATAAGGGTAAAGATGTGGCAAGTATGAGGATAATCAAGCTTATAGAAAGAATCACAGTTACGAAGTGGGTAGAGACAGTATAGTGCTATTGAAAGTCTCACTTATTCTTCTTTACTGTTATAGGGACACCATAAATGTTTCAGGGGTTATGAAGACAGTTAGTCCACTAATTGATACAATGACCGCTAGATTTTGTTTGTGAGTTCAGATTTGATTGTGAAATTTTTATTATCATAGTTTAAATTAATTTATTCATAAGAGACTAATATCCTCATCGTTTTTGATAAGTTTATTCTGTTAACAATAGATCGGAAAGTATTCATTACCTCTTTATTTTTTCCCAATTAATATTAAAGTTCATGGGAAATAGTTTTTATCACTTTATGGTGTTAAATAGATGTAAACGTCCATTCAAACAAATGTTTGTTTTCTGGGCTGACAACTATTGGACACTTATTGTGATTCATGAACCCCAGTGGTGAAAATATTTTGGGTGTGATTAAAAAATATAAAAAAATAAGTGATTGATTGACTTGTTTTTGAAAGTGTGTGCTCATGTGTCAATGAACAAACATTTTATTGCCTTTAATAATTTGTTAATTATCTGTAAATTGTGCATTTTTGTGATCTGATAAGTTTAAACCAAAGTAGCATAAACTAGTTTGACTGGATGTCGAAATTCGCATTTTCATATATAAATTTTATGTTTTAAAAAGATTCTGCCAGTCTGTTTCTTCCGCGCTTTGACATAAACTTGTAACTTATAGAAAAAAGACATCAATTCTAATCGACCGACATCCCATACTCCTGACTGTGTATAGATATTGTGATAAAAAGTGGGATTAAATTTCTTTTGGATCATGTAAACATGGGACTGAAGTCATCAGTTGTCGTGACAAGAGAAAGATCATGCATGTTATTAAAAGTAACCTGTGAAAAACTGATAACTTTTGGCTGAATATGACACACACTTGTACTTATAATAGTAATTATTGAAACTAGAATACAATAAAATGTTTAATGTACAAGGAGAAAATAGATTTTCATTTTAGTGTTTCCTTGAACTATTTTGACATATTGTTTGAGCTTGTAATGATCTTTCTATGTGAATAAATCATTCTTAGAAGATCATGTATAGGGTATATAATATTCACGCTAAACGTCAAGGATTGGTGACTGAATAACAGTTTACGCCTTCATGAAGGAATAGTAATCTAGGAGAAAGAATCGAAGACTATTCAAATATAGGTGATATTTGCAAATAGTAATTCTTATTACAATGGTTGTATTTTGTTTCGCTTTAAAAAGGTATCGACAATAAGCGAAACATTGTATTCTTGATTATAATAGTCCATAGTTAAATACGTGGCTGATGCGTGATTTTGCGAATTCACCAACATAAAAATTGTTTTCAACTGTACATTGTACAACCTATGTAATTGACCTGTATATAATTATGACAAGAAAACCTATCTGTGTATGCATGAGTGTCAGTTATTGTGCTTGGGAAGTGTATGGTTAGGTTTATTTTACATAATGTCGATAGCAAGTGTTTTGTAAGTATGCACTAATACCACATTACTATTTTGATTTTCAATCTAATTTTATAATAACAATGCAAACACTTTTAACATTTGAAATATAAAGAAAAATTAAAGTTCATTAAACCATTACTGTATACTTTATGCCATGCAGTTTACCGTAAAGTAACTTATTCAACTTATTAGTGACATATTTTTAAATGATTTGATTTATTATGTTAAACATATTAGAGGGACACCAACAAATTCCATGTACATATTCGTAATATGTGAACATTTTAAAATCGAACCCGAAACAGTTAAACGTCTCAATAACCACCATATTCCACGGGTAATTAAAATATAGGTAGTATTAAGTGCTAATTAACAGTTTTAGGTTTAACAATCATTTTTTGGTCGATAAGACTGCTAGATGACAATAAGGTTAACTGTATGAATTGATATTTAGCTGTACTGAAGTTTAGTTTCTATATAATAATTAAACGCCTATATTTTCCAACTGAACAAGCTGAAAAATGTTGAAAATGCGTTATTGAAGTTTGCATGTATGATTATTAAACAGATCAGTGTTCATCAGATGATATTGGCTTTCGATGAACCATAAAAAGTATTAGTTGTAGTAAAATCACGCAACGTTAATGATAACTGAAATTTAATCTTATTAAGTTTTAGTAAACACTATAAGGTCAAACGACATTTTTATCAGTATTGACTGAATTGTACTACATAGGAAAGGAGTTCACAGGCACTGATAAAGAGTATAATAGTTATTTCACTTAATTCACAATTAACATAATGGCATATATCAAGATAACAGATATTGCTTATCGACGAATGATGATACAAATTAGCCTTTGCGCAGATAGTACAGGTTTTGTAATTATACGGCTGTACGTATCCTTATGTTTTCATGAGTGAAGGATGCATGGCTGAGTGCATGCTACACATATTCATGTATAAGATGTAAAAACTGAGTACTATCGGACGACTGTGTTTTTATTTTGCACCTTCAGTGATATGATGCATATGTACCGATAATCATGTCCATGTTCACGGATAGACTGTAATAACCACGTCAAGCATTTAACTACAATTTCATTATTTTGAGCCAGTACGATT